TATTCCATTCTATTAATTAATACAATAATGAATAAAGTATACTTAGTAAAATAAACAAAAATAAAAAAATTAAAAAAAAAAAGGAAAAAAGAAGAAATTTACCAAGTTCAAACATTCATTAGTCGATGTTCCACTCTAATAATCACATTGAAACCTCGTGCATTAGCACGAAACACACTCTAGTTGGAGTATTTATTTATTACTATCATTTTTATTAGTTGACATGTTTTGACTCTATTACTATTTACATACTCCCCTTTAACCGTATTTTGTGTTTTATACGTAATAAAAAATATAGTCATGTGAGATCTTGTTAGATTCGTCACAATATATATTTTCAAAATATCAACTTTTCATAATTTTTGTTTATCAGTAATTAAAGATATTAATGGTTGAATTTATACATTGGTGAACGTGACTAAAAAAACGTGTCAACTAAAAAAACGGAGAAGTATTATTTATTTTTTTAATAAAGGACGGAGTATTTATTAATCAAAATTAAAGTTGCAAAATATATGGCATAGTTGGATATTAGTTTAGGCCTGTGGTCTGCTAAACTATGGGCCATATCAGTGGGCCTTGTTATAGCATGTTACGGTTATTCTGGTTTTTTTCAAAATTACAGTTGAACTGCAATTGGTATTTGGTAAAACAAATCTGTAAAAGGTATTTCTCAGTAATATCACTTATTTCCAAAGGACAAATCTGTCATTGCCCCTTAATCAATGAATGATGACGCGTAGATAACGTCACAAAAAAGCTATAAATGATGAAAAAGTAAAAAAAAGAATCATTTAATTAGTTTTATTTAAATTATTTTAAAACTAATTTTTAGATATAAAGACTACTCCGTACTACGGAGTCCTTTGTATTAATTTGTATTACGTTCAAAATGTGTTTTAATCCCCGTCACAAAAAAAAAAAAAAAAAACAAATTTAATAAAGTGTTTTAAGCATTTGATTTTCAATTATCTAAAAATATTTGACTTGTAATTGAGTTCGCATACCCTTTATTTTCCTACTAGTTTATATTTCGTGTGATGTACGGTTTTAAATAAGGAATAATTGATTTTAATAATCCCACCTTTAAACGGTTTGCTGCTAATAATTCCACTTTTTGATTAATATCTAATAATCCCACCTTTGAGGGGTATTAACTTCTTATGGTCCCTTATGACCGATAACTTGTTGTTTGGGTAAGTTTTTTTTTTTTTTTTTTTTTTTTTTTTTTTTAACTTCCTTGGCCACCAGGAGGTAAGAAAAAAAAATAATTTTTATTTTTTTTTTAATTTTTTTTAAACGAAGGAAGAAGGAAAGGGGAAAAAAAATTAATTTTTGAATTTTTTTTTTAAAAAAAATATAAAAAAATATTTCGACGAATCACAAAGTGACACGTGGCATGTTAACCCATTATACCGGTAAACAGGTTAGGGACCATTAGAAGAGAATGCTCCCTAAAGGTGGGATTATTAGATAATAATCAAAAGGCCGGTTGGATTATTAGCAGCGAACCGGCCAAAGGTGGGATTATTAGAATCAATTTTGCCTTTAAACAAAATACAGTGTAAGATTGTTTAAAATATGGAGAAAGAGAGTTTTTGCTATGTAATTTTTTTGTATACATGGTAAGTAATTTCTTCTATAAGCATATTACTTATAAAATTTAAAAAAAAAATAAAAAGTCATAATGAACACTTTTAAACATTAAAATATTAATATACTTGTAAAAAAAAAGGACTCGGTAGGGATAAAGGATAAAGTATATGAAAGGTTTATTAGATAAAAAAAATAAAAAATAAAAAAAACTAATGATATCATCGTAGCAAATTGTCGGGAAAAAAATTTAATAAGAGTGACATGTGTATAATTTGAAAAAGGGATGATGTCAGCAACATTTTGTTTTGGTACGGAGTATTAGTTAATAGATTCATAAATGTACTCATTAAAACTTATTTGAATTAATTGTTAAAAAAAATACTTTTTTTTTTTTTTTTTTGACGAGAAGTACTCCTTTCATTTTGGATTAATTGCAACATCAAACTTGAATTGATAAATAGTTTAAGAAAAAACATAGGGAGATAACCAAATTGAGGACTTTATAATATAAAGTATAATTAGTGGGTGTATATTTAGTTGGCAGCAAAAAATAATGTCACATATAAAAGTAGTGAAAATAGCCTTATTCAAAAAAAAAAAAAAAAAAAAAAGTGAAAATATAATTAATGGAAGATAGAAATAATGTAATAAGGCCCTTACTAAATAAGAAAAAAAAATGCAATTAATCATAACGAAGGAAAAGAAGTGTTACAATTATATGAAATGATGGAAGTAGTGGTAAATATGGTGCATATAATTATATCTAATTACACCATTCCCTTGTCTCCAAAAGATTGTTCCTTTGCTGTTTTTGTAGGACAAACTCTGTAAACTTTGATAATCAACTTTAATTTATCAAATTATAATAAATAATATAATCATATGTGATCTAGCTTGTTTGATTTGTTTTAATGTAATCATTTAAAATATTAACGTTTTTTATATATCTTGACACATACAAAAATGATGAAATATAACAATATGTTAAAAGGAGGGTGTATAACATGAGGTTACCTAAAATCATCATGTTAGTGACACGAGAGAACTCACTTTACAACAATATTTCGACAGACACGGGAGAACTCATCGTTCAAACAACATTTCGATTGACACATAAAATAAAAAAGATACTTAACAATCTTTTTATAAAAGGAGGTGTATAACACGAGATCTTCCTAACTTATCATCTCAACATCATTTTATTGGCACGAGAGTTTTCATTGGATTAACATCATTTCAATTGACACGTACAAAAATAAAGATATATAACAATCTTCTAAGAGAAGGGTGTATAACACGAGATTTACCTAAAACATCATTTCATCGACATGAGAAAACTCATGTTACAACATCATTCTGATTGACACATTGACATAACTTACTTTTACAACGTCATCTGATTGACATGTTGAGAAAACTTACTTTTACAACGTCACTCTAATTGACATGCCAAAAAAACTCACTTTTATAACGTCACTCTAATTGACAAGCCGAGAAAGCTTACTTTTACAACGTCACTCTGATTGACATGCCGAAAAAACTCACTTTTACAACGCCACTCTAATTGACATGATGAAAAAACTCATTTTTACAACGCCGTTTGGATTGTCACAAGATAGCTCATGGTTTCACAAAAAGAGAAACAACTAACTCTTACAACATCATTCCGATTAACATGAGAAACTTATTGATTTACAAAAAACTCACTTTTACAACGTCATTCTGATTGACATGCCAAATAAACTCACTTTTACAACGCCATTTGGATTGACACAAAAAAAGCTCATGGTTTCACAAGAATTGAAACAACTGACTTTTACAACATCATTCCGATTGATACGAGAAACTCATGACTTTACAAAAAGTGAAACAACCCACTGTTTAATAATCTCATTCCTATTGAAATGAAAAAATTCATTGTTTTACAAAAAGAGATACAAATCTCAATAATAAAGTCTTCCGATTTACACGAAAATACTCATTATTACAAGAAGAGAAACACAATACTCGTATGAGAATTAGTCTACTACAAAAGGACAAGTTTGGAGACAAAAGACCAAAGTTGATCAAGAAGTTGGATTAACTCAACTCAATCTAGTTGCATGCATTAACATTCGTTTTTACATGTTTACCGACCGAACCAAACAAAAACTAAGGAAAAAAACTGCCGTATAAAACTAACGCCGAACATTTTTCCCATAATTTTACCAAAAAAATAAAAAATGAAAAATTTCATTTGGAGGGTCTTTCTTAGCTTTTGGTTCGTTGCTTTCTATCTCCTCTCAGCAGGTACTCAATTTCTCTCTCTTCAATTTCAAACCTTAATTTTCTTTCTTTTCCCTCTTGTAATATCAAAATTAAATTGGGGATTTTTTTTAATAATTTTTTTGGTATCTTAATTTGTATTTTCATACAATTTTTCTTGCATAAATGCTATATTGTGCTGAATTTTTATTTTTATTTTTTATAATTTTTTTTCATGGATTGGTGTTTTGTTTTTTTTTTTTTTTTTTTTTAATGGGGAATTGGTTGAATCTCTCTATTTTGGTAAATTGAATTGGAATAAATTTTTGATGGGTTATTTTTTAATTTAGGTTTGGCGATAAAAAGGAAGCAGATTTGTTTATGTTCTTAATTATTTGATGCTTATTTTGTGGATCAACTGGATTATTGATTTTGTTATAATTTAGATTCGAGTATTTACTTTTAATTTTGATTGATGAAGAATTGGAGATGGTGTAATAAACTTTTAATATTTTTAATAAATTGGATGAATTGGGGTGTGATGGAATTACCTTATGAATGAAGTTAATGATTCAGCTTTAGTGATCTAGGGTTTTCATGTTATGTATGTGCTTAATTTCAGAATCAGAACATTTCGGTTTCGTGTCGCGGTGTTAGAGGGTAGAGAACTAGAGATCAATCTTTGAAGCTTAATTGGGAATCAGCAAGGAGAGTGATGATTTTCCAAATCAGCTGACCATTTTATTAATTGGGTTTAAAAACAATTTATTGAAGATCTGTTTTAGGCTGGAAATGAGGGATTAGTCTTGTATCTACCAAATTTGTTTGTAGTATTATGATTTTAATATTTATTTAGCTAACTTATTGGGTGAAAAATTAATATCATCAATCCATAATCGGTTAATTTGCCATTATCACTTCTTGTATGGTATATCTGCTGCTAATACTAAGAAATTATCTGCATGATCTTTTCTTGGTAGGAATTCCCATGTGATCCTCCAGAAATTTGATTGTACCGAGGTTGAGAGAGATTTGGTGTATACCGACTTATAATTGCTTTGATATATTCTGATTGCATCTTAAGCATTTCTCATCAAAACTACATTGAGTATTTTCCTCATTGAAATTGGGCATCTTTCTTCATCTCCAATAATCAACAGATGAGGAGGGGAGGGAGGATTGGCTCAAGGTGCAGTGGTACTGGTAACCGACATGTCCGTGTGAAAAGTATGGAATCTGAGGATTCTGATGAGGACTACGTGGCTGAAGTTGATGAAATAGATGATCAATCTGATGAGTTAGACTCCTTAGTTGGAGACGCTTCTGAGGAAGAGAGTTGCTTTGAGCCGGAGGTGGAAGCGGAGGAGGAGGAGGATGAAGAGGAAGAGAAAAATGAGGGAGGGTGGAGAAGAGTGGTAAAGCCAAGGACTAAGAAGGGATCTGCAAGGCATAGGAAAAATGGTATAAAAAGACCAAACAAGAGGAAGAGAGTTGTTAAATCTGACGATGAAGAAGATAATGATTATGACGATGAGGAGTTTACACCAGAGGAGGAATATTTGGAGGATGAGGAAGAGGATGAGGACTTTTTGATGCAGAAGACGAACACCAGGAAAAGAGGGAGGGCCACATCCAAAACAAGAACTTCTGTGAAAAGCCGAAAAAAAAAGAAATACAAAGCCTGTGAGGAAACCTCGTACAAAGAAACGTACAAAGACTAGAAGTTTAAGGAGGAGGACAAAATCTGATGGTGATGAGGAATTTACTGAGAAGGGTCCTACTCTGAGAGGTAGGACCCTGAGGAAACCTGTGCGTGGAAAGAATAGGGTGACAAATGGAACAGATTCTGATTACTGTTCTGATTCATCCGGTTACGAGTTCACTATATCTGAGGAAGAACGAGAACAAATCAGAGAAGCTAACAGGATTTGTGGAAGCCTGGCTCCGAACCTGAGGAGTTCAAGGAGAGTCCAAGAAGATGAAGTTTTTCATGAACCAAAAAAAACTTCTGCCAGGAAGGGCAAAGAGAAAGCAGAATTTAAAAAGATTGATGTCGGTAGGCCTGTTTGTGGTATATGTTTAACAGAAGAAGGAAAGAATACTGTCCGTGGGACATTAAACTGTTGTAGCCACCATTTCTGTTTTGCTTGCATTTTCGAGTGGTCAAAAGTGGAAACACGTTGCCCACTGTGCAAACAGAGGTTTGTCTCAATTAGTAAGCCTGGGAGATGTGGTAAAGCATTTGATCTAAGGGATACGGTGATATCAGTTCCAGAGCGTGATCAGGTACTGTTTCCAAACATTGACCCTTAAATCTATCCAACATCTTTCTTCTTGTGGCACCATGCATACGTGCCTAGCAATTGCTTTATTTTATGTTATGCTTTTCATGTTTTATTGAAATAGCTCAGGCAATTTTATTGCATTCAGGTCTATCAACCATCTGAAGAGGAGCTTCGAGACTTTCTGAATCCCTATGAAAATGTCATTTGCACGGAATGCGATCAGGGTGGGGATGATGCCCTTATGCTACTTTGTGATCTATGTGATTCACCAGCGCACACATACTGTGTTGGTCTCGGGCGGGAAGTTCCTGAAGGCAATTGGTATTGTGATGGTTGCAAACCAGCTGCCCTTGGGTCCTCACATTCTCAAACTCAGGATCTCATTCCTGATCAGAGGACAAATACTGGTGTTTCTGATGGAGCAGCTACGTACGAGAACATGGCAGAAATAGACCTTAACGTGACAATTACAGAAACGCCAGTTAGTCAAGGAAATGGATTCCTTTCTTCTCCAAGATTTTCAGGTGGAAATTTTCAGGCACCTTCTCCTGCCTCTGGGATGGGAGTATCGACTGTATCAGGAAGACGACTGATTCACCGTCAAATCCGAAATATCCTTACCAATAGATTGAGTCAAGTACCCCCTGGGACTGATATAGGTGCTCTTGGCAATCTAATTGGCCGGGGGGTTAATTCAACACAGCAACAAAGTAGAACAACAGATGTAGGGCCCTCTTATCAATCTCCATATGTAGATAGATTGCAGGAAAGACTTACTAATAGTGTACAAAATAGGGAACCATTTCCTGGAAGGCTGGGCCACATGGTAAGACAGATGGGTCAGCCCTCAACCTCTGCGAATGGCACAGATCATGGCCAAGTACATTGGAGCGAGCTAGACAGCTTGAATTTGGGTGAAGGTCAGAGTCTGATGTCAGCTGGTGAACAACTTCACCCTTTTAATGGTAGAACAAGCATTGGGCCTGAAATTGGTGCCCCTCCCTCACACAACAGGTATGAGGAACATGCAACTTTAGTGAAACAACAAGTACATTCAATGGTGAGGAGCCAGCTGAAGAGCTTGTCTCAAGACATGAACTTAGGTGAGTTCATTTTATGTTCTTTGCATTCGCTCCACATCCTAACATAGAATGGACTTATGATTGTTTCTTGAACCATGCATATACCTACTTTTGACTAAGCACTTCATATTTTCCAAATCACTAAGTTGCATGGACTTGCCTAGAAGTTTAAACATGTGTTGTTGAATTGTTAATCTAAGTTGAAGTGTCCAAAAGTCATACACAATTATATTGATGATACATACATTGATAGGCAGAGTTTATGAATTCATATAATGTGGCCCAGGTGCAGTGAAGAGTTGTCTCTAAGGATTATGCACCTAGATTTTCAAGTTGAATTAATTTAGTCATTTATGGTGCATTGAGAGGCTACTTTATGTTACACGCAATCTGCAGAATGCCACCAATTTGCTTTCAAAGACAAAGGTATAAAAGAAAACGAAAGTGAATGATCCTAATGCTATGAGTCTGTTGCTCAAATTTTGCATTGTGCATTCAGAGTTGGTTTCTGCCATCAGGACTCTAAATCTTGTCTGGTGCAACTCTTGTCCCATGATAGACATTTTATTGCTTGATTCTGAATTTTTAAGTCAACTTTTTTTGCATGCAGGTAATGATGATTATGTAGAAATTTCGAGGAGATCTGCACACACCATTATGGCGGCATGTGGGCTAGAACCTCGAAGGCATGACACATATGAAGCACAACCTCCAATTTGTGTCCACCTTGTAAGCAGGTTGGCCAATGTAGAGATAAGTCCTATCAATGGTTGTTGCTTGAATTGTTTTGAGGGTTTCGTGAAAGATGTTGTGAAGAGGATCATGGACATACTACTGCAACCTCATTGGTTTGGTTTCAGACATTGATCATTAGATACTAAGAACTTTTTTGAAGAACATATTCTTACTCCGGCCAATGTTTTTCTTTTTAGTGTAGGATGCTCATTTTCTTGTCTATGTTTGTAGGAACAATTGTGACTGATTACATCAAGAATTTTCCTACTGCTGTGGACACTCTCATATGGGAAGGGTCCAGAAGCACCATTCCTGTTTTCCCTAACTGTTCATAACTAACTTGAACTATTATGGCTTCAGTTTGTCGTCTGTTTTCTTAGCATCTTAGGTGGCAAGGATAAAGGCAATGTTGCTTCAGGCTTTAGTTCTATATTGCAGAATTTGCTGCATTTCTTCATGTAAGCCCTATTTTAGTGAATCAAACTTGTCCGCTAGTAATTAGTAATGAATGAACAAAGCACTTCATCTTCTCAAAACTTTATTTTTTTCTTTTTAGTTGCGGCTTTTTCAGACAGGATCTATTTGAGTTGCCTAAAAAACCCTTCTTCTTTGGATTGCTCAAATGTTTTCCCTTGGCTTTAGTAATAGCTAGCACTGGTAGCTTTGGAGCATTTTTATCTCTTAAAATTTCTCTATGATTGGGAATGACAATTATACAGAGATCCAATTCAATTCGATCATTTCACATCAACTTACAGATTATATTATTTTCTCAACGTCTGTTGGATCCTTACGTTTCTGTGAATTCTTTTGTGGGCAAGGTCAATTCTAAAGCCGTAATGCATTAGGATCAAAAGTTCAAAACGAGGAGGCCATAGCAAAATCCTTTTTATTTGTATGTACTGATCTCTTGCTCTCGTCTGAAAGAATTTAATACTTCCTCCGTTTCTTTTAAGTTGACACGTTTCTTTAGTCACGTTTGTCAATGTATATCTTCAATCACCGATAATCAAAAATTATAAAAAGTTGATATTTTGAAAATATATATCGTGACAAATCTAACAAGATTCCACATGATCATATTTTTCAGAACGTATAAAGCATAAAACAGCCAAAGAGAAGTGTGTGAATAGTGCTAAAGTCAAAACGTGTCAATTAAAAAAAATGGAGGTAGTAGTATATACCAAAACGAAAAATCAATTCATGGTCTTTTCAAAGTTATTGAAAAACCATACAAGTTCAACAAGCCATAAACCTCATTCCCATCTAAAAACCAACCCATTGATGTTTTTTGACAAAAAGATACTTACGATTACTTATGTGAAACGCTAAACATCGCCCGCAATTTACCATATAAAGCCCACAAATATGATATGGTTTGACCATTATGCCCATTTTCTAAAATTGAAATAATCTCGGTGTAAAAAATGTGGAGCCGTACTGGCTCGCCGGGGGAGACCGGAGGGTAGGCCGGAGATGCGGGGGACGCCGGAGGTACGTCGTCATCGACGGAAAACGAGGTAAGTCACCGTTAAAATTCACGGTTTACCGTCGGAGTGGCTCCGGCGCCTAGGATGGACGCCCAAACCGTAGCCTGGACGTCCAAGCCAGACGCCAGAACCACCAGAGTGGCGTCCAGCCCAGACGCCCAGACCACCAGACTGGCGTCCTGGCCAGGCGCCACTCCACTGGGTGAGGCGGCCCTGCCAGGCGCCAGTCCACTGGCTGTGGCAGCCCTGGCAGACGCCACCCTTATAAATTAATTTTTTTTTCTTTTTTGATTTTGTTGTTGTTTTTTATTTAATTTTTTTTTAAAAAAAAAATCGAAAATGATTTTTTAAAAAAATTCGAAATGGGTTTTTTTTAAATTAAATTTGAAAATTCGAAATAGGTTTTTTTAAAATTAAATTTGAAAATTCGAAATGGTATATTTTTAAATTTAGTTTGAAAATTCGAATTGGGTTTTTATAAAAATTAAGTTTGATTATATATAATTATGATTTTTTTTGTGTTAATTCTGTGTAAATATAGAAATTAAATGTATTATCCGTTAAATGTATTTATTGTAATATATAATTGCTGCAGGAATATGGTGGAGACGGAAATGATTACAGTGGGATATTTGGACATGATGGTCCATTCGAAGAAGCTCAACAGGCGATTGATTGGGCAAAACAGGTTGCAATTGCAGCTGGATTTTGCTTGGTAGTAGTAACTCATAAATCTCAACGGGATGGTAGAATGGATCGCATTTTGAGATGTGACCGTTATCGCAAAAGAGAAGAAAGAGATTTTCGTACAGCCACTCGGTTTGATACAAAGCGGAAAGGTTGTGGGTGTGAGTTCAGAGTAAAGGTTCGACAACTACGGAGTCGTGACGGTTGGGAAGTGATTGGTTACTCTAAATGGGGGTATCACAACCATGAGATGATAGTATATGAAGAGGGTCATCGACAACTGAGCGGCTTAAGTCCTGCTGCGAAACTAGTTGTGAAAGAAATGAGTGATGCTCAAGTGAAGCCTGCTAAAATATTAGCATCTGTGTTAGAGAAATTTCCAGAAGACCATCCAAACCGAAGACACATCTACAACGTCAGACAGCAACTCAGGTTTGAACGGTCAGAGGGAAGGAACCCTATACAACAGCTGCTACACCAGGCACAATCACGTGGTTACCTGTTCTGGTTTGATTCTGATGAAGATACAGCGGAGGTGACTCATCTTTTCCTTGTGCATCCTGATTGTGCTGATATGATCAAGTCTTGGCCATTTGTGATTTTGATCGACTCAACGTATAAGACAAACAAGTACAAGTTCCCACTGGTTGAGATGGTTGGGATGGCTCCAACGAACCAGAACTTTCTGATTGGTCATGCAATCATCAAGGATGAGACGGCTCCAAGTTATTATTGGGTGTTGGAGAAGCTGAGAAACTACATCGGGCCTAATGTTCATCCAGCAGCCATCGTCAGCGACTGTGAGGGAGGTCTCTTTACCCCCATAGCAGAGCTGTTTCCCGAATCGAACCACTTATTGTGCACATGGCACATCAACAACTGCGTGAAAGTGAAAGCCTACAACCTTTTCAAGAAGAATTTGGAAATGGCAGAAAGATTGGTGAATGGTAAGTGGCGGAAGATCCTACAGGCTACCACGAATGGAACACCCTAGCTGCATTTTAGTTTTTCATGTTTACATTCTTTATTTGTAA